GTGGCTAATCTCAAATGTTTGATTTCAAATTTTAATGCGGGAAGTAATTTGTTCATCCCTCCAAGTACCTCGAAAGCTCATTTCATTGCCATTTCCAACGTTTTGTACCACTGTAATCACCATATATATTAATTCTAGTAAATCAATCAGTATATATTATTACATATATCAATCAGTTTCCTCTCATGTCTTCTTCAATATGTTCTGATGACAAGACGATAAAGACGATTTGAAGTTTTGGAGAGTAAAAGAAGATATAACAATGATAACGATGAGGTTGGCGGCATCATGCTCATTCCTATCCTCCGGCACTATTTTGTTGTAACACAATTATGCTTCCCAGTATATTTACTATATCAATTTATATTGGCAATCGTTGATATGTACCACTTTAAAAATACATAGAATTTGAGATGTAATTAATGAAAAAAATGTCCAATAATTATTTCTAATTCTATCGATATTATGATATATATCCATGATACTTTCAAAGATTTAAACTAATTATGGAACAACCTGATATTATGTTATTAATGAAATAACAATATGTGTATTGTTTTTTTATTTAATATTTTCGTACATATATATTGAATAAATTCGTGTATTTATTTTCTCGTCGATCTTGTTCTCCTCAAAAACAACTTTCCATAGTGTTAGTACCATTAAATAAACCAATTCCAAATTACTGTAACTTTAAATTTATAATATGAGAAGAAAAATGTATTTGAGCATAAAACAACAATTATAACAAACTAGGTTACAACTTTGTAAATTCAAAAATAAAAATGCAAATTTTCTTCCGATTAAATGCGAAGAAATTTTTGAAATTTAGAGGAAAAGAACAAACTGAAATAAATGATTTTTATTTACAGCCTAAACTTTTAACGAAAATTTATTCAGCTAAATGTTTTTATATTTTTTACATAATTTCATCATTTCCATTTCTAATTATTCATTAGATTTTTAATGCTATAGGATAGCAAGTTTTATATCAAAACTATTCCTACTAATTGTTGCTTAATAGAACTTCCGATAATTTTTATTTCTTTCATTAAATTTAACGGTATATTTTCAAATAAAAAAAAATCAAGGTTTATCAAGTATTAAATAATGCGAAACCTTCAAGCAACTTACGCCTATTGCAATATTAATTTATTTAAATTAATAACAGTATTAATTTATTTAAATTTCAAAATAGCCAAATTTAATCCGATAAAATCTGATACTTCCAGTTGTCGATTTTTAATTTTCAAAACTTTTGATTGGCAATTTATATATCGGAATATATTACATTACTTTTTACTCACTATCTAACATAAGATATGAATGATATTACTTCATTTCTTTAGAAAAAAACAACGGCATTTCTTCTTCTATCTTTTATGATAAACTGTTTATTCATCCAATTAACAAACGTATTTATTAATCATTCTTTACCTGATATACTATTTAAACAATACCTTTGATATCATTTTTACGTTTAAATTATACTTCTTTAACGTAGAAAATAATCAACAAATGAATAATATGTGAATGGAAAAAAAATTTACAACAACATTTGAAATTGTCGAATGTAATGGATGAATTGATAGAATGATACAGTCTTCATCGATTATCACTTCATAGCAATTGCATTGGTGAAGCTAAATTTCAACACATTCATTTCTTATTTTTCTTATTGCTAAAAATTGAAAGTCTTTCTTTTTTTTTAAAGAGAAAAAACATCGAATAAAATAAATTATCGAAATAAATCATAAAGATGAAGTAAAAGATAAGTGAAAATAATTTCAAATCTAATAATGAAAACAGGAAGAAGTGAAAACAAATTTTGAAATTCAAAAATTATTTTCTCGGAAGTAAGATTGATTTGGTTAATTCAATTTGCATAGATTGTACTTTCATCCAATCAATACCTTATTTTTAAACATTGATTATCTAAATTTAAAATTATAATTTTAAAATTTTCTAATAATATCCGAAGCATTTGTAATTATTGAAAATTCAGCAAACCCATGTTGATGCTTGCAATATAAAAATCGTTTTCTATTTGGTGATTTTCTTTTCCTCTTCTTTCTTTCTTTTTTATAAGAAAAATCAAAGTTTGTTAAATCTAAATAAATCTCAAATCATTTCATTAATGCAATTCATTTATTAATATTTGTTAAGTTAGCAATAAATTGCGAAGAAGCAAATAAATTGAAATTCAACGGGAATTCAACGGAAAGTTTTTTTGCCAGAAATTTAATGGATATACAAAGAAAAAAATGTTACATTTGGGCAGTGATAATATTAAAATGCAGAATATTCATTAATTCATGCCACCAAACATAAATGTTGGTCTCATTTAAGAAACATTTAAAATGCCACAAGTAGTTAATTAATATGATCGCGTTAATTGCATTGTTATATCCTCTTTTCAAGTTTTCAGGAATGGTATAAAATGAAAACTTTCCAGTAATTTCGAGAATATTTATTAACAGTGGCTTGAGCAATAAGATAAAATGACGATTTAACGGATCTCACTTATCATGATGCCATAATTTGAAAGTATGGTGTGTCAAATGGTTAGTTATAATAACGATAAGATGATCCATGAATACATAAAAGATTACCGCTTTATTTCTTTGGCTTCTTGATAAAATTTTTAAAGTCCTTGATGTTCAAAATGTAGGAAATTTAGAACAGTAAAACTTCGACGGTTTTGTATCATCCTAAACGGTCATTCGCGACAACACTGACCAGATACCCAAGATAAATCTCAGCGGTTGCGAGACAGTAACTATTTCATTACCGATAGTCACAAAAATGCACAACCAAAGAACACTACTACCATTTGAAAAAAAAATGTAGATGTTTCGGGTCCGAATGCACACAACAAATAAGCAATTTGGAAACAAAACCCGTCCCTGGAGATCATGCAAAAGCGAAGAATTCTGTCAGATGTCAACGCTTTGTTACTAAAACTAATTAGAATATTCCATTGCATTACAGTTCTCACTATTTTCCCTCCCTCACATGATCATTCTAAACAAATTCAAAAAATTTTCTTGAAATACTCGATTGATGTGCTAGACACAAGCATCCAGGTTTCACAAGAGTTCAGTGCCTCACTCCAGCATCAATCAATGGCGATTCAATGGGAACCAAATAGAACGCCCACGCAAAATGTGCCATAAGTGTAGAATGTAGACCTGCCATTTCTTTACCTGGTCATTTTCAATCGACTTGATCACAACACATTCCACATTTTTCCCGGTTTGTACCGAGAAAAAAGCCTCCCGGAACAATTACAGCTCCTTTCAATCTATCCTGCTACTCCACTGCTTCCTTCCAAATACAACGAACTCTAGTGGGATTATTGGGGAATCCGTGTTACCAGCCTTATTTCCACATATCATTAACTGTAACTTTCCATGTACTGATTCTGCGTGTGTCAGTTACGACTTTATACTTTATAAAATATAGTATAACAACATCGATTTCGATACAAATTGATAGAATTGATAGAATTTCGAGAACGCTTATACGGATTAGAAGAAATATTCTTAGTTTCTATAGCCACGAGACTTTCTACGTCCGCGAGCCTGAAATACCTTAATTGTAGCAAAACATCAAACCAAATCATTAAAAATAAAATCGCCCTCAAAGAAGAATACGCCAAAATCCTGAACACCTAAACTGTTCATACTAATAACTTCTAAGTCCTTGCATATATAGATTGCTTCCTTATATGTAAATGGAAAGGAACTTACGCGTTCAAATTTACGTCCCTTAGAACGAACAAGTGGTTTAGTGTGGCTGTGTGGTACACCTGGTGCTGGACCGAAATGTCTTTCGGCCAATCGATGCTTTCGTGGTCCTTGCAATAAACAAGTATTTTCTCCACGTGGTGCGCGCAGAGCGAGTTGATCGAATGTAATTATTTCGCCACGTGCTTTAATTATCCTAGCGCGTGCTGCCTTAGTCACACGCAACGCAGCAACCTAGAAATTTGTTAAACTAACGCATTACCCTTCGATTAAAACACCGTATACATTGAATCTTCAGGTAATTATCTCTTCCAAAACAACATAACAAGCGATATGAAACAAAAGAAAACTTGTGAAACGAACTGTGAGCTTAGGTATTTCGAAAATTCGATTATCATCTGTAATCGTCCCAACTACCACTGCTATTTTCTTCGCATTATCACCTCTTTTCATGTAACGTATCAACCGAGCAAGTGACATAGGTGGACGATGGCGACGCGCCATCATTAACCTTTTCGTAATAATACTGTTGAATTTTGCACCAGTCCGCCGAGTCAAATATTTATATAACTAAATTATTCCAACTTAATTAGGGCTCCACAAACATTAGATAAAACTCATCTTTTAACAACATAATTACAACAACCTTGCATGAATCTATTAAGGCGGATGGCACAGTTGGCTGCTAATTTATCCTGAGTACCCACTTAGTAATAATTCATTCTATAAAGCTGTAGAAACGCCACTGAATAAAATTAACCACAAGCAGTAACACATCAATACCCAAGGAATTAATATATATTAAAGACTATATATATATATATATATATATATATTTATCAAAGACTTTCATTCATCCAGCAAGAGTTGGGGAAGAAAATGATATCGAAAATTTAATAGAAACGTACTTTAACTAAAACTCGAAGGTAAGGGTCCTCACTTCTTGGCGCTTTGCGCCGAACTTTGCGATCATATTTATGATTTATATCGATACCCTGCAAATGTATTTACAATAAAAATCAAGTTTGCTTTTGTCAATTAACCCTGGCTATTAATGAATCATAACTGTGCCAGAAGCAGCGCAAAACTAAAGGATAAAAAGATTTTTATGTAATTTCATATTTTAAACGATTGCAAACTATCACTTTCGCAAAAAGCTGCCTACATCTCCTATTTTTAACATCAAAAGAATCCCAATCATCGTAAAACTATCTTCCGTCTCACTTCGGATACCACTACAACTGCTTACTACTATGACAGCATACATTAAAGATAGCAAGTAGATTTCCAAGAAAAGTAAATATTACAAAAGAATATCAAAACTTACCATTTTTAATATTGGATTCTTCTTCCTATGTGTACCCTATGCTGAAACGAAACCGATTTATCCACGTACAAATTACACGAAAAATACAATGAAAATAAACGATGTTATTTTGAAGTTGACCTATAAATTAGATCTATAACCCGGAAAAAGATTCTTGAAAATGTACCATTTCCATTTAAACTTTATTGCAATTTCGTGAGCGATATATTCCGCAAACGGAACGAAATATAACCGAATGGCACCAAGATGTTGTCCTATCCTCACTGCGTACAACCCAGCCCACATAACACTTGCAATCCCAAAAGCTCTGGGATACGAGGGAAGATAAAGGACGCACATGCAGTTTCCCAGGTTCCACAGATCCTCCCACGCATTTCCGTCAAACCAGTCAGGACAATAAGTGGACTACCGCTACGGGAGATGGCAGGATACCCGAGATACAAATCTGAGACGCGGGACCTGCAACTACAACATGACGAAGTAGAACGACGACTCCATATAAGTCTGATATAGGAGCAATCACTACCGACAATGCCCTGAAGTAAACAATCCTATCACCTCCAAACATAAGAGAATAACGGCCCTGCTATGCTATCATTTCTACTACACTGACCATACCGCTTTGAAAATTTTAGATCCCAAAGGCGCTGTGCAATCCTTTTTGTCCTGAACAATTTGAGTCTTACGTTGGTGAGTGTGGTAGCGTTAACTATGTACTAATATGTAGTTATATAAATAAAGCGAAATATAAATCTTTAGGTTTCAAGGTGAAAAAAAGACAAAAAGGAACTAAAGATGGTTTTCTGCTCAGATAAGATATTATAGGTAGACAAGGATATCGTGGGTTGTTTTTCGTCCTTCATTTCCACGCTTTTTATAGAGTGATCATAGTTCAAAAATATTACATGTACATTTCTCCTTACCTCCATTGGAAGTGGATAGTGGTGAAATATACTGAGTATTTCGGAAAATTTGGGATACCGTGATGGTAAGAATTCCCCTCAATTTCGCACATCCTTTTTTCACTTAATATTCCTTTTTTGCTTTTTTTCTTAATTTATTGAGATTTCAAAATCTAAATAAGGATAGAAATTGCCAACTCCTATATCCGGATAACCAGAACAGTCCGTCACCACACTATGATAGCATACAGTAGAGTAACGCGAGTTGTTACAGAAGGGAATTCATGAGATTAGCCATCAGATTTTGCAGATCACTGTAAATATCAATCGTATAATTCATACACATTTAATGTTGCCGCGTACTTCTTCATCTTATTCCACGATAACATTGAAAGATGGAAGGGTAAAGGTAGTTAAGTTTCGAAGAAGGGTAGAGACTGCTACAATTAAGAGACGTAATGACGTGGAGGTTAAAAGAACTATAAAATAGCACACTATTGAAGAGAGAAGAGGGATTACTGCAATTTTTGAAATGCAGTGTTGTGGAAAGTTGAGAGATTAGGTAAGCTCGTGCGAGTTATTGTAATAACAGAGGTAGAGAAGGAAGGGATAGCGTTGAGTCGAGACTGAGATGCCGTGAAGGAGAGGGGTGCTGTGTTTCCCATCCTGGCGTACGTGGGTAGGTTTGTAGACGGGATCTTTAGAGTCGAGGAGTTTTCTTGTTTCATTTTCATCCGGAACTTTTGTGAGATTTTGGTAGATTATTTGCCTCGCTTATGTTAGTAAGACGAGGATTACACAATTCCCTTTATTACGCTACTTTTTTTTTCGCTTTTTATAGGTATGATAATAGTGTGAAAATATCCATGAACATTTTCTGTACTTCCATTGAAAATGGCTAGCAGCAAAATTATATATTTTGAGTATTTCCAGAATTCCGGTAGCTGATATACGACATGAGTTTGATTAACTTATCGTTGGATGAAATTATCGCGCGCCGAAGAGTATGTTTTCACTATCTCTTTGTTTATCTGCATAAAACTGCGCAATGGTGATTTCATCATTTGTTTCATTAAATGTTTCCAGGTAGAGAACAAAAACAAGCAACTGACTTTAGTTGCAGCGTTTTGATTAAAAAAGGGAAAACAAACATGTAATGTGGATTTCATACTTCGTAAAATTTATTTTTTTAACTCATATTTCCTTGTTTGTTTTTGTTCAAATCCTAACAGTTTGAGCGGAAAGAAGTAGAACATTACATTACTTTTTTTAGGGAGTGGATAAAAAATCAAATGGTTCCATCAATCGTTTCCGTAACAACAAAAAAAAAAGGGATTTTGCTCCTGAATATACAAATACAAGTTCAACATTCACGAGACCGGAGGTAAATTTGCTACTGATTCATAATTTTGTTACTTTTGAAGTACCAAACCGTAAATCTTATAAGCGTATATTCCAAAGCACCTAACCGAATGAGACTTTGATGGTTTTTGAAGAATTTATTGGTGAGATTAATTAACTTTTCGGTTTCTTTTTACTATTAATTGATGTTACCTATGTAATTACTGTGGCATATTACGGGATGTTTCATGTGGTGACAGCTGAGCTTAAAGTGTGCCACAACGTTTTGGAATTAAGCACCCCTAATAAATATTTTTCTGACGTTTTTTTTTCTAACCTAAGACGATGTTTATTTTCGTTGTTCTCCTATGGTTACACCGTTGATTATTTGTAGGATGTACCTTCGGGAAAATGGGACCATAGCGGATTTGAGGAGATGTACGGCAATGGATCTGGTGGTGTTTCATCTCCACGTGTAGCACCAGAACATGGTAGACGATTCAACCGTGTTGATTTAGCGAGAAAAGTGCGACTTCACATCACAAATCTAGCACCAACGGTCAATTCAGCTGACCTCAGTGTATGTTTTGGTGTTAATGATGTAAGTAGAAATGAGGACAGTGTTAGGTCTAAGTTTGAGATTGTTATGAGATTGATTTGTGGTTGAAATCATTACGTGATCTAACATATTATTAATCGTTACAAAATTATGACATAAAGAGTCTTATTTAGGGCACTTAACGGAATGGTTTTCCGAGTCTTCCTATTTTCAGCTGCATCTGAAACGCAGTTCCTCTGTTAGTGGAAGATATACTGGTAACTGATCGGTTCTAACATGACAAATCTCTGACATTGATGTAAGGTGTACGTAGACCAGTTTCGTCTAAGACAAAATTGTTTCTCGATTCTATGTGCTTTCAATTAGTGGCATTTGATTTATTCTATCAAATAGACGGGACAATGATTTGATCCTTTAGGAACTTTTCGAGGAGTATTCGATTATCTCAGCCAATGTTAATTACGATGAAATGGGGCAGTCGGTGGGTACAGCTGATGTTGTGACTGATCGAGTTACCGCTAGGGAAATTATTGCCAATTTAGATGGCGTTGCACTTGATGGTAAGTAAAGTACTCATTTCAGTTTTCACATGACCAATGACGCATATTCCATTTTTTGCACTAGAGTCTTCCGGGTCCAGAGTAAACTTTTGCTATGAAAAAAGTTTCTCTTTACTCCGGAGGCGTGCGCTGCAACGTAATGTAATGTTGAATATTTTCTTTAGTCTTATCCATCAAATGGTAAGAGTTTATGAGCTTATGTATGCTTTTCTGTCGTATAACGGGTACTTCATGCATTGTTGATTTGGCATCATCATGTGTATAAATTGCATTTTATAGGTGAGATAATGTCCTTCCACATGATTGGTGATCAAGCCATGCCAACTCGCCGTGATGTTCGTGTTAAGAACCGTTTGAGTTTTCGAGGGGGTGTGATTAAGAAGCGACAGCTACCTCCGAAGCGTAAGGTAAGAGAGTTTTTATTAAGTTTTACAAGTTCTTAACCACTAGGATTCAACTAACTGAACGGTTGGTCAGCTGCATGATTGTTTTTGAAATCCAGAGCTTGGCTACTTCAAGTGATTTCAAATTATCAGCCATAATATGTTGAACAGCTGAATGCTCCTATATTTCCATTAAAAGGTTTTTGGTTACAAATTAACCATATCCATTTCCATATTGCACTTGAAATGCGTTTTAGTTCGCAGGGACCAACGGTCGTCGTAAGAATCATCCAAAACGTTCGCAAATGACGGACGAAGAACTAGATCGAGAGCTGGAAGAGTATATGAATAAACGCAGCAACCAAAAGCGAGATGAACAGAAAATGGAGATATGATTTTTCATTTTTGTTAATGTTTCTTTTCTAATGTCGTAATTTAACCTAATTTTAAAGCCAGTATAGGGAGGACCTACTAAACCTTGGATTGTTAAACTTATCTACTCGTTACGCATTATTGCGAGAAAGGATTGGGGGAAGGAGAAGCAGGAGGACGAAAGGAGATGGAGATAATAGAGGCAAGTGGGGGGGGGGGGTAGTAATTGTAGGAATGCATTGATTTTGACAAGAATAGTTAAAATAATCAGTTTATATTAACTTGTGAGAAATATACTAACTAAGCCATTAGTCATCTATTTATTTCTTTATATGTTTCCATAATTATTTTTACTAAGAAAGTATGACGTAATATGCATTTAATGTATTGAGTTTCCATATTTTTTTTATAGTTATAAATATTGCATTTCTTTTATCGTAAATTATGCGAGTGATTTTGGTCTGTTTAGCTCGTGTGAAATCATGCTTTTGCAACATATTGTGTCCTTGTCCCTTACCATTCTGTGTTTTATCTTTATTAATATGTTTTTCTTCAAGAATTTTGAATTCACTTTCACTTATTTCAACTTATCGTTTAGTATTCAGATACAAATACTCATTCTACACAGTTGGCTAAAAGATGTGGTTATGTTGTAGGCTTATGGAAGCTTTTCTTTTGCTGAGATCAGTATGCATGTAGTGAGCAACAGTACTGTAGTTGTTTTACTTAATGTTTCAGTTGTTTAATATCTCCGTATTATATTGTAACTTAATGTTTTATTATTTTTGGAGCATTACGGCTATTTCATTGTTGCTTACCTCGTTCATCCTGATTCATTATTCGATTGGCGGTATTTTTTTTGGATCGGGCTCTGTTCTTTGAATTACAGGTTTTTGTGGAGGATTTTATTCCATTACTGTTGTACGTACTTTTTAACATTTTATCCCTCTCTTTTTTAAAGATGAACTTGTTCAACGAACCACTTACTGAATAAAACTTTGTTGAAAATAAATGCTGAAAATTAATAGTTTTGCCATATTTTTTTTCCGATTATTAATTTGGGGTACTTTTCATTGGCAGTTTCAAGTTAATCGTTCCTATCTCACTATAGCTTTGGGCCTACGAATTCTTCGGTCAAGGCCTGCTCAAAAGTTACATATTTACATGGTTAGATGGAGATATAGTGTGTGGAGTTTGTTGATATTGAGAAAATGGAATTATTTATGAGCAGATATATAGTGATGGTTTATGTCGATCGGCTAGAGATTAGGAAGGATCATATGCGAGCTTTATCTGCTATAAATAAAGTCAGCAGGTTTAAAAATGTGGTAGTGGTTTGGAGTGAGCAGATCTTGGAGCTCGTACAATTAAACATTAATTTGGGTTGTTGTTTATTCAGTGGTATTGATATGTCTGAGCCATAAGAATACCGTGAAATTGGTTTTTTCGTTATTTTATAATTTGTTTGAACATTTTTTACGAAATAATATTGCGTTTTCAGATTTCAACGTTTAGTTCGATTTTGCCGAATAATTTTATCTCCATTGTATCTGAATGTGTGAGGAGACGAGGTAAGGCTAATTTTTGCTCAAAAGAAAATAATTCATCTGGAATGAGAAAAATAAATCCAAAATATTAGTGGTAAAATAAGGAAATTACGCTATATGAATTATAGTGTACTGCCGAGCAACCATCACCAGCGCTATACGATTTGTTGCATATTTCTGTCAGCAAAATATGATGGCTATAAAATGATCAGCATTATTTGATAGCTTCCCATGATCCTTGCTGCGCAAAACGATTGTTCAGCAAAATGTGTCCTGAAGTCTTTCCAGCTTTATGCAAGAATCGATAGGATATCTTAATTTTATGTCGGTGAGTTCTTATCGCATACTTATGCTGAAATTCACTTCCTGTTGAATATGGAGCTACATAATTTACAATATATTTTTCATTTTATTTTGTTGCAGCACATCACTAAGACATGAGAAAAGCTTTTTTTTATACCGGTTACGATGAAGGGAGCTGCAGGACACAACACTCATGATGGAAGTATGAAAAAATATAGTTGAGCTTCAATTTGGTTTTAGGAAGTCTTAGTGGCAATATTTACATTGTCGCAAAATATAAATCCTGCCGAAAAGCCTAACAAACAGGAGGTAATATATTATGTACTCTGACATATTTCACGTCTTGGATCAATCATGGTTTATTTTCTTATCTTACAGCTTTCAAGGATGATGCTCAATACTTGAGATAATCTTCCATCATATTTTAATGAGCAAATAACAAATCCCATTTCAGAAGGTACTGATTCCATATGTTATGACAGCGCCGGTTGAAGATTATCATAATACTGATGTCGAATCAATTTTCCAGTATTGAAAAGCTTTGTTGACATAGTGATAACAATGGATGAAGCGCTACAGGATGATATGCAGTCAAAGTGTTCACGTTGCTGCGAAAATGACTAAGTATAATATCCAAATGATTTCTCTTAGCTTTTTCAATTCACTCTGGAAGTCTCATCGCAGCGCAACAACTGCTAGATAATGTATGAGCATGCTGTGACAAATGCTCCTGTATTGAGATATCTTATATGGAGTGGTAGACGGCCATAAGTTACATATTTCGTAATTTTTCTAGTTGTATAAAAAATTCATTTTAATAAATCAAAATTGTTTTTTTTGATAAGGCCAAGTTCCGTATTTTCGATTTCAAGGCAGTGCAATTTAGAAAGAGGTATTCTTGATTTAATCCATGACCATTTCCTGATCCATAAATTGAACTTATGCATTTTACCTGTCCCTTTGCTTTTAATCAAAATATTTCTCTGGGTTCTGCATTTTCAACGTCGGCAAGAAGTAAGCTACTATTTTTTAAACTGGGAACTCTTTTACTTTTATAAAAACTCGCGGATATAAAAATTCTTTTCTTTCCTTACAGCTTGTTCCATATATGCCTTACCATTAGGAAACGCATTAATCAAAATAATTGGAAATATCATAGACCGCAGGCCATGGATGGAAAGGAGAGAAAGATTTGGAGATTTTTTGGTGAGTTCAGATAATGCTGCACACAATGTTACTTTGTAACATAGTCCATTTTATGAAATTTAAGCTATTACAATATCTAGTGAAGTTGTTAAATCCGTACTTAAAATGGCTGCTGAATTGATGGTTACCATTCCGAACTATACTAATCTCTGTTATGAACAAAATGATTGTTCATCTAAGTATGAGCATTGATTAATTATCAACTAATTTCATACTGATAAATTCGACAATAATGAGCATCGAATATTAAGTGAATTATTTCTGTAATTAAGTATTCAAATTCTTTCTAGCGCTACGCAGCAGTTTTCAAAAGTGTTTCTGTAGGGAATTAGTTTGATTTTCTGCATTGAAACATCTAATCAAACAGATGCATATGTGACAACCATTTCTTTCTGTGATCGGCCTACATGTCTCAATGTCACTGAAAATATTGGAGTTATTTCATCATTATTTATGTAATTTTATACATATAACATATCACTTATTCATATCACTTATTATTCATATCATGATTATACATATCACTATTCATCATCATCACTGTTACAGCTATAAAATAACAGTGAAGTGTTATTTTATAGTTATTAACAGTGATGATAATGAATAAGTGATATGTATAAGGGAAAGGAATTGAGTGAATTGAAACTGCACTTTTGTTAAATTACATAAAAAGTTTCTATTTATTACTTAACGTTTCGAAATAAGTTTCCATCATCAAACATATGACAGTATTTAAAAGATAATGAATATGAAACTCCATTCGAAAATAAATGTGAAAGATTTTGTAATACTCATCGAACGGTGCTGTATTAAAAGGATTACTGTCAGCTATGATTATCTGATAAATTTTACTAAGTATTATACCTAATGAAACAAAAATGATTGCAGAGGCTATTGAATAACATTTTTTGCCTTAGGCGGTTTCTATTTTCAGCAGATATTTTTTTCAGAACTCTCAACAACAAAGCTGTAGTATCAAGTTCGGTGGCTCCTGTTAATCAAAAAGTAATCGCAGAACAAAATGTAACATCAGATATCAGTATTGCTAGTTTTATCGATTTTTTTTCGCCTCCACATAATTTTTCTAGTACTACATTATATTTACTAACATCGTTTGGAACGGCCAATATGACAAAAGAATCTATGGATGAATTTTTCTTTATCTTTTAATAGATTCAAAACTTTTCTCGGAAAAAGTGTTCCCTTTTTTTTATTCATTAAAGAAATTTACTTGTTCCGTAAAGCATTGATCCCAACCTTTGAATAGAGTGGAAAATTATGACGATAATGTTTCAATGAAAGAAAATATTCCTATTATTCTGGAATTTTCCTCCGGAAAGCTTGAAAAGGAAGGTTCTTACAAAGTTACTATTATAATATGATATATTTGGGAGAAGTCTATTATGAGTTTTATTTTTACTGTGATATTGCCACTTATTTATCCAAATTCTCTGATGTATGGTATCAAAAACTTCTCTAATGTCAGAAGCTACGTTCATTTAAACTTTAGGCATTAATTCCGGTATTCAAGAAAAAAATTACTATGTAGGCAGTTGAATTCACTTGTTGATTCAAAAAGCAATCAACGGAATATATGAAGGAAGATGTTAAAAGTCAAACAAAAATTACAAGTTTTTTTCCAAAAGATATTCAAATGATTTTTTCAAGAAAATTTTATTTAGATTATTTCTTTTTAAGAGATACTTCATTCCTCCCTGATTTGTCTATTTTGTTGTAAATGGTTATAATTCTGGCTCTGTTTTTACGGACAGTATAAGTATAAAATTACGTTGTGATAGGGTCATTTTGATAGGTATCCAACTGTCTGATACAAGTTGAAGTTTAAATGTATTTAAGTCTAAATGCAAACCTGTAAACTTGATATTAACCACTTATCTGATTAATGTTTCGAAAACCCTTGGGTTTTCGAAACATTAATCAGATAAGTGGTTAATATCAATCAATTTGTGAGAGATAAATTCGAAGTTCATGACGTCAATTCTTGACTTGATAAAGGTCCATGATTACAAAACGTATGATATAACTTTTTTCGTACAAACTATGATAAAGAAGAGTAGATATAAAACATTTGGAAATTTTCGTATGAGATGAGTCATGCATCATTTTTCATTTTCCAAAAAAAAGCAGTGATAAGAACTGTTCTTAATTTTTGGAATAGTTTTTGTGGATTTATCGAACACTGGTTGATTGGTGAATTTCAAAATGTATTATTTGTTGACAGTTAGATAATGTAATAATAGTATACGGCGTAACTATACACATAAGGAGTTAATCTTTTGTTCTCGTTATCATATTTATAATGAAATACGAATTACATGAATGGACTTGAAATAATTTCAAGAACATCTTAAATACTCATTTTTGCTTACTATTTCTGTTTCGATCGTTGTTTTTGTATCTTAAGGATGTGTCATTATTTCACTTTTTTTGAGGATATATCACTATTAGGCTTTCCTGTTGAAATAAACCAGTAGTTTAAGTTTCTTTTTTTCTTAATTTATTAGAAATGAAACCTTAAACGGTTGGTTTTTATTTCAATAGGGAAGTCATTTCTAATAAATTTGGAAGTTTCAATAGGAAAGGAAAGTTTTGGGAATCGCTTTTGAATTCTATTGAAAATAAGAAAGACTGATCTTAAAGATTTATTTCTAGAAATAATTTTTTACCACTGTGTAGATATTGTTATTGCACAAGTTTTCTCGAAGAATATTATTTTGTGTTTTCTGGATTTGGATTTTCCTCTGTTGTTGAACGAAATTTGTGTTGTATGTGAAAGTAAATAAAATAAATTTTTTTATATCGCATACTAGATGTTGTTAATTAATTTCGGGTAAAAGAATTTTGAATAGCAAGCGTAAAGTTATGTTTGAAAGACATTGGTAAAACATTTTAACATGTTGAAAGAAAGAAGTGAAATGTAGTTTATGTTAGTTTGTCACATGTTTGACAGAGCGTAATCGATTGATAATTATATTTTGATTAGATTGAATTTAATTCAAAATTTATCAAATCCGATTGTTATCCTATTTTTATTTTAGGAAGTTAGCTTTTCCTATTCAATTCTTTACTGATATCTCGAAATGCTTTGCAAAATGAAGCCTATTCATTAGAGAGAAGCAAAAGGCGACGTTTTTTGACAGTATTTTGAGCTTTTCTAATTTTTTTTTACCCTGATACTCTGAAGAAATTCAATAAATATGGCTGTTTTAAAAAGTTTAGTGCAATTACAAATGGCTATATTTACTTTCGAAGATGATTTTATGTTTGCAGATGATATGATAATTTCGCTTCTTTATCAAACATTTCCCAGATACTGTTATTATTTATTCCCGCTTCCTAATTCTAATATTTATTATGTTAAACAAAATCAGATCGCAGGAATCATTGTTATATCAATGCATATATATAAGAAGGTAAGACGATATATGAAGGAGTGTAATAAATTATAAATTGTAATTTTTCTAGCTTTTCTCGCTAAATATATGATCGATGACAACTTTTAAACTTTTACTCTTCTGGTTTAAATAATGTGCAATCAGTTAACGCTTAACTAATTTGCCAGTTAACTAATATAAACTTATTTCAAATTTCGATTCGTTTTATTTTTGTTGAATTTAATTAATACACATAAGATAGATGATACAGTGAACAGTGATACGTGAATGTTCATCTGTCATGTCAGATACATTAGGAAAATACTGGTTAAGTTCACAAATCTCTGCATGTTACAAATTCTACCTATACTTATGCTTGGGCTCATTAACAAATAATTTTTCAATTTTAATTTCCTCAAAATTGAATTGAATACATTATTGAGACAATTCAAATTTAATTGAAAATAAAAATGAGTAAATGAAGGCAAAAGGTTTTATAACACACATCATTTATTCTAATTTATCTTTCTAATTTTCTAAATTTTTTGATGCTAGATTTTTCCTTTATTTTTTTTGATTTACTTATGAAGCTAATTTAACCCCTGAACTGTTCCTTTTGCTAGCTGTACTTTAATTGCAAAATTAATCTATGGAGATTTATCCAAATTAATTTTGAAAAGGAAAAAAATTAATTGAATCAATTAATTGAAGAACAATTTACTCCAATATCATTTCTATCACTACGCTGAACAACTGTGATAAATCATATATGGGTAATGTCGATTTAATAAAAAATCGATTAGTAAAAGGGAAATATATCGAAAGTTATTTCAATAAATTTAGCTTGATTTCATAGAATTTGTTTAAGCATAAAAGGTGTGAACATTTGAAAAGGAAAAAACTGACTCAATTATCTAAAGAACAGTTTATTCTAATATTAATTAATCAGAAATCAAAAGAGCAAATTGAAAGTTATTAGAAAATTTGTAAACTGGTAATAAAAATGCTTAGGAAAAGTATAACTATATAAATGGAAGCATCGATGATTGATGTGTAAATGCCGTGAAAAAATGTTAAAACTTATGCATGAGTAACTAAATTGAATTTTATGATGAAAAATGCAGCGTCAATTAAATCGGAGATACCATGGAAGTTTTCGAGCCAAATATTACCGAAACCTTCCGAGATATCCCAGAATTTAATACGCATGATAAATTCTTTTTTTTTCCTTAATGTTATGACGGTGACACCATCGATGGCCGTAGCTGCAGCTGCGGCAGTTGCAGCTGGTGGTACTATTCCTCCGCTTCAAGGATCTCTTCCAAGTGCCCTACCCGGTGTTCTTGGTTCATCGTTACCTCTGGCACCGAA